GTCGCAACTTGACTAGGGCCTCCATCTCGGTGGTCGAACGGCTTGTTTTCTTTTTTTGAGGGGCGAAGGGAGGGCTTTGCGGCGGGAGGAAAGGCCGGAAAAACAGCGATGTTTTGGGAGCGAGTGCGTGCCTGTTGGTGGGCGGAAGACTAGGTGCTGGGTCTTAATGTTGGGGCTGGTGCGAGAGATTTTCGAGGTGGGTTGAGATCTGGTGCGCCGGCCGGTGTGCATGGAGCGCGCCGTTGGTGTGAGCGGGCTGAGGTATAGAGCTGGTCTGTGAAGCATGGTCGAGCGTGGTTTATAGAGCAGGTTTATAGAGTGGGTCTATGAAGTAGGGTCTATGAAGTTTGGTTTATAAAGTATGGTCTTTGAAGTAGGGTCTATATGTATTATCTTTAAATTGTGGTTTATAAAGTAGGGTCTATGAAGTAGGGTCTATGAAGCATGGTTGAGCATGGTTTATAGAGTGGGTTTATAGAGTGGGTTTATAGAGTGGGTTTATAGAGTGGGGTTATAGAGTGGGTTTATAGAGTGGGTCTTTAAAGAAGGGTCTTTAAAGTTTGGTCTATGAAGCATGGTCTATAAAGTGTGGTTTATAAAGTAGGGTCTATGAAGCATGGTCTATAAAGTGTGGTCTATAAAGTAGGGTCTATCAAGCATTATCAAGCATGGCCAAGCATGGTCTATAAAGTATTGTGGCTGTGAGCGTACATACATGGACTCTTGTTTATTTCTGCTACCTAGCACTAAGGTGCTCTGGTTGAGACGAAATCGAGTAGAAGCATGTGAGAAGTCTCGTTGTCCGAGCGGGGCATAGCCTCTGTTCACATTGCGACCATGAAATAGGGCCAGATATACGTACTAATTGGGTCGGGTCTACCAAGCACCACCCAAGGTTGAGCAAAATCCACATAACGCAAACAAGCGGAGGCCGGTAAGTTCTATTTTATTAGTGTTGTGGAGGAACTAGGATATCCGGTATTCTCCTTGACTTTATTATATTTTTCACAAGTGCATATCTGCTTACTCGCACTCCGGGGGCCTTCGTCAAAAGCGTATAAAAGATTTAGTAATTTAAAAGATATCTTGAGTAAGCCTTCTTTCTGATATGCTGCTTACAATTCTATAAAACGTACGCCTGTAAATGTATATCGTTTTCTTTGAGAAGTCAGACAAAGAAATAGAAACAGGTAAAACCAACCAGATCCTATTCGAAAGCTGGAATTCACTAAAGCCATTTGAAACTCAGACCTTGAGGTATAAGTGGCTCTAGAGATAGGATTGTACAAGCTGGTTTTGCTTCTATTACAGAGGCTACTTGAGAAAAAAAACCTGAATAATTCTCATGGGCTTAGACCCAAACGAGCTTTGAAAGAATTATATTTGGCAGGCTCCAAATATAAATGGGCTATTGAGGAGAAAGTAACGCAATGTTTTACTTCTACACCCCATATTAAACTAATAAACACAATACGTGAACATGTTAGATGACATCTGACTGGGATGAGCTGCTGGTTTTGATCGACGTGTGTTGCTGGGCTTTTCAGGGTATTGTTCTGTCTTTGTATTGTTTTTCTTTTTGTTTCTGTTCTTTTGTGTTCTGTTTTGCGTTCCGTATCCCTGTCGGTGATATTAGGGCCTGCAGCACGGTAGGTGCTGTCAGCCTTCGGATGGACAAGCTGAATCTAGGAAGCAAAATCGTTTTGCAATTGAGTTTATTGTTTTCAGCGTGTGCCTACGAGGACAAAGAATTGGACACCAGGTTTCTTCAGGCTTTTCTGCCGAGGAATAAGCATGCAGAAATAAGATTACAAGGCTTTGGAAAACCTGCAAAAGATGCAAAACAACGACTCATCGTTCCTGTTGTAGACAGTATCGGGCCTTATAATTATGCAGCTGCAAGCTCGGCCTTACATAGCAATTCTTGCTTCGGGAAAAGTATAGATCTTGTGCTTGAAGTCCCGCCCAACCACTGTATGGTGCAGTTACATATCATGGCGAAATCCTACAAAAAGTCAATAGATATGATGATCTAGGTAGCCAAGCACTGAACCAGGAAAGGAGAGTGCCAACCCACCCAAGGAATGAACAGTAGCAAAAGTCATACCATAATCAACGAGTAGGCAATTACCAAGCCGCCATATTTTCAAGACCTGAGAGGATACCGTTAATACTGCACCGATGGATCCAGCAGCTATCATTTGCAAATGTCTTGTAATCAAGGATCTTGGAAGCGGCGATCCGGCAGTCCCAACTACAGACAAGTTAGAGTGGCCTTGTAGACTTTTCGAATGGTTCCCACAAGCTACTCGTCTGCCAAGCAGTGCCATGTGCAACACCTTTTGAAATGCCTTTTGATGGATCAAATTGATGAGAGAGACATTCTTTCTGTAGACGTACCGGACAAAGGGGATTAAATTGTCGTATCACATACAAAACTCTTGAGCACCTACCAAATACGAGCCTAGTGTTGGAATTCGGCCCGCTCGTTCCGCTATATACGGCCTGGACAATTATTTTGACCCGTGTCTGTTTATATATTGGAATTTAATTCGTCCATCCCTCGAATAAGTCTCCTTTGGTGGGTAAGTGAGTCATTTTAGAGGGATTAGAAGGACTAGAGGGCATACTTTCATAAGCCTGCCTCGTCCACGAGTGTATAACTTGAGGATGGTGGAGATGAAATTTTCAAAGATGTTAAGTTCTCCAAGTAGATGTCTAAGGGGCCAGAATTTCATTCGTGCTTATGGGTTTGGCAAATTTGAGCTCGTGCCACCTTACTTGGATGTTTCACAGCTGTTGCTAGTACGGATTAGGAAAGTGTCTGCTGTGTCTCCGTTGTTGGAGTCTTTTAGAGAAACATCATATTATAGGGAGTCACTAGAGAGATGTAAAACCCCGCCATTAAAGAAAAACTATGGAGAAAAACCTATAATAGATCGCAACATTGGCTCAGGTGAGAAGGCGCAAGCACCAATTCACGAAATCTCCCAACGAGAACGTGATCTCAGAAAGACTTCTGTCCATATTTACCACTTAAATAAAATTAGCTAAACGTCATCGTCCCATATGATATGTTTTCCTGAGGGCCCGTGACCATGGCTAATTGGACAAGGCGGCAAACGTACATATGTCTTTGCCTCGTGCGCAAAGATGACACTGGAAACCCAATGTTTCGCCTTTTTTTTCGCATCATAGCGTCCTCGAGGTGCCAGGTACAACAATATACTTCATTAACATAGGAATGGTTTTTGCACCAGTTGCTACTTTCGGTTGCGGCCATACCATGCAGGAAGCACTGTTTCCCGTCCGATCAACGTTAGTTAAGCTGCATAGGGCCACACTGAGTAGTGTAGTGGGAGACCATATGCGAAATTGTGGTGCTGCAATCTT